CAAAACAAAAGTACTGACACATTACAGTTCTTAAACTGTAACGTATTATCACAAATTGGATTATTCAATTCTGAATCTCATGTTTTCCCTGGCGCACAAAAAAATGCCTTAAAGGAAGCCAGTGGGAAAGTGATTTGATTGTGCAGCACCCTGTGTAGCAGACCATGCACCCTACAGCAGCTAAAAACATCCCATGATAGATGGACCAATCTCTGCACCGACTGCCTTACCACATGTTCAGTAGGAGCTAATATCACTTTCTGTCTTCTAGGCAACCTGGCATGTGTAAAATCCTTGTTCATATTATTATACATTACGTGGAAGTGTTCCCCATGTTTGGATGTTTTGCTTTGTTTCCTCAACATAAATCTCAAGGGAAAATAATCAAGTTGTTCTGAATGTTTCATAAGATCTGTTTGGTGAAAAGGGAGAAAGGGGGGGAAGGGAAAAACGAATGATATGAATGGCGATAAACAAGAGGTTATAGCAAAGGGAAGAAGAGACAAAAAATTACAGAGAAGGTAAAAGGGAAAAAAAAAAAAGGGTTCACTTATAATTCAGGAATACCCTAAATATCTGCTTCCCAAGCAGTAGATTTATAGGGAGTTAATAATCATATAAAGACACTACGTTATTGTTAACACTGCCATAGATTTAAACATTGGAAATTCATGATAACATTGACATGTAGTATACCAATTTTTGTATTTATTTGTTTCATTTCTGTTGTAGGTTTCTATGTGTATATTTTGTCTTTCTCTATTTTTTCTTCAAGTAATATGACTGCAGATACTTCCATATTCATCTAAACTCAAGTCTCAATTTCTTAAAATTCTCTGGGTATGGAAACAATATTTCTCTGAATTTGCTTGCACTTATATTTTTTTTAGGTGACAAAATGCTAGTATAAACCACAATCCTTTGATATCTTGTGATAAATCAAACAGCTGTGTCATAAAGGATGATAAAGAAAGCTCCTACGAAGGTGCACTGAACGGAAGACATTCATGCATAATCTAAATTTCCATCTAAGTAAAGACTTCCTTTAAAATTCTAATTTTATACAAAACTCAGAAAGCATGATCTCTAAAAATCCAATACCAGAAAATCATCAATACTAAGAATCTATGCTGCATGTCATATACCTGTTTAAGTATGACATGACTGACTAGATGCTAAGTAAATAAATTTCCTCTAATTACGCTGATGTCCCTGAGTGATGGGGAGGGGAGGGAGGGTTCTGATGGAAGGAAGCCAAAACTTCAAAAGGAGGCTTGGACCCTTATGGCGGTCCTGATCCTAAGCAATTATGCAAGTCCTTGGGCATAGTATGGAGAGGGATCCTTCCTTTGATATGGCCTACTGCACAGAATAAGAACCTGAATGCACGGGGTGGACTACAATCTGGGGTCAGAACAATGTAATAATTCTTTTGTAGCGGGAATGGGACTCTTCGATCTGGGGGCAGGATTCAAGGACTGATTCCTAAGAACAATAACAGAGTGAAGATTCAGTAAGAACCACGGATAAATCAAGTGTGCTGCATAGGCGTGGGGAGTGAGTAAGACAGGATTCTGAGAGAGTACACATGTTCCCAAATGTAAGAGAAGCACATATAATGAAATCTGAATGTAGAAGTAGATCAAAAGAAAGGACTACTATAAAAGTGAGAACTCGGAACTTACCAGGAGGAAGGTTCTCGCAGGCTGTGCCCTGGTCCTCTCCGTTGACGTAGTAATGCAGCGAGCCGTCTGAGTGTCGCATCATGCCCACGCGTGTGCCAACCCCGAGGGAGTCTAAGTCACATCGGTAGTTGTTCATGATCGTCACACCATCTCGCATGACGGAAGAGCCACTCAGCATCCAGGTATCATAATCAATATCTGTCATGGTGCTGGGGAAATCAATCTCCTCAGGTGGAATGGCTGTCACTCCTGGAAAGACATCGAGAATTACGTTTAGAGGATACTATGGAGAAAACATTGCTACGTCATCCTGTCATATACTGTGTATTCTTTACATCACAAAAATTCAATCATCTTTTAAAAGCTACTTACCAGCTTCCAAGGATCCTGACCATCTGTCTACCATTTTATCTATCATAACTTCAAACATTTCCCCTTCATGTAGCTGCCTATTACTGATAACAATGGCATCATTAAATTCTCCATGGGCATTGGGGCGCTGAGCGGTTAATCCTCCATTCAATATGCGTGCATTCTTTCCATGTAGATGGTGGAATCGGAGATCACTGTAAGGATACATCGAAATATTAGTGACTACATAACTAAGTATAGATACACATCCTAATTAACAATCCATGTCATAACTTTTTAATCGCTAAGAAAATCAGCTTTATGCTAACTTAAACGCATCTCACAAATTCTCATTCCTTTCATCATGAAAACGAACCTGTATATGGTTGAGCTTGAGAGACTAGACGGCAAGACATCTGAGGAACAGTGCTCAGAATGCTGCACTATGGAAGCCTGAGCTGCCTGGCCGTAGAGGTCGACTACGCCATAAATCCGCTCGGGCACATTACTTGCTGCCAGTCCTTGCTCCACTCCGTTCACGTAAAAAATTAAATTTCCGTTGTCCTTGCGGATAACTCCAACTCGGTCACCAACCTGCAAATAATCATTAATCCTTAGAGGTTTGGGGTCTCATACAAGCAGTGATGACGGGGCATTTATAATGAAAGGTTTGCTTGGATGTGGAGGAGGAAGAATACATATGATACATATTACAAATTCACATACAAATTGTTTAGATAATAAAGTGCATGAAAACGTCAGACCACCTTACTCAAAAACTTTTACAAAATTGCATCTATACTATAACTATGATTAAAGTTTCAAAAAAAAAAAGAAGAGGAAGAAAAAAGAAAGGGAAAAATGCATGTCATACCTTAAGCCTATCTAAATTCTGGCCGTACTCATCAATGATTGTAGTACCGTTATGCATTACCCCATTGCCTGTCATCATCCACGTTCCAGATCTGAAAAAAATAAAAGGAATATTATATTATATTTTTCATGCTAATTAGTTTTGAAAAATGCAACTTTTGTTTACTATTTTCCCGAGTTTTGTGCAAGATCAGTGATTGTTGAAATATTGCATTTTAAGGTCTAACACTAACAATTTTTACACACGAAAATAAAATCACTGATATATCTTGGATTTTTGCATGGGAGAGAGACAGAAAAAAAAAAGAAAATGGAAAGAAAAGAAAATAAAAAAAATAAAAAGGAAAGGAAAGAAAAAAAAATTCTCTTTCAACTCTAAAATCACATCATTACCATATCTAACACAGAATATCCTTCCTCAATCAAATCAAACGACAAGCAAGGTTACAAAAAAATATCCAGCGAACAATTCCAAACAAGCTGGTCTGTTCCCCCCCCCCCCCCCCCCACACCATCCCTCTCTTATACAACAAAATCCCCAAGGAACCCAAACAAGCTCCCGAACAACCCACCTGACATTGGTCATGGTAGACGGGTATTCCAGATCTGTAGGCGCGTGCGTTGTTACGCCAATTTCCAGCGAGCCGGCCCACTTGTCAACGCACTTGTCAAGTCGCACTTCGAACATCTCGTTTGGCTTCAGGGGACGCCGTGTCAGGACCACGCCGTTGTTGAAATCGTCTGAAGCACTGTCACAAGGGGGATAAAAGAGGTACAATCATTTGCATTTCCAGTCATGTAAATCTGGAAACAAAACATCTTTGAGAGAAACGTCACTCCTATTACCACTTCAGTTTAACTTTTCCCCTATTTGGTTCACAGAACAACCATTTGAAACCAATCCTTTTCTCCTATGAGAATACACTTATACCTCAGTTTCACAGACTTTACTTTAATGTATATGTATAATGTTTAATGTATATGCGCAAAATCTGGAGGGCTGTCACTTTGCTTATATCTTTGTAATCACAAATATAGCTTATTACTCTATGGTTTTCCTCCCATTTTTATGTGTCAGTATTTTTAAGTGGTTTACTATTCATCAGATTGGATGGTGTGCTTTATAAAAAGTACAATTCTGTATAATTGCTCTTTCTTTTACTAATGATCTTTAATCTACTAAATATAATTACTCACACAATATCATTATGCATTCATTAAAAGGAAAAGGAAATGAGAGAGAGAGAGAGAGAGAGAGAGAGAGAGAGAGAGAGAGAGAGGAGAGAGAGAGAGAGAGAGAGAGAGAGGAGAGAGAGAGAGAGAGAGGAGGAGAGAGAGAGAGAGAGAGGAGAGAGAGAGAGGAGAGAGAGAGAGGAGAGAGAGAGAGGAGAGAGAGAGAGGAGAGAGAGAGAGGAGAGAGAGAGAGGAGAGAGAGGAGAGAGAGAAGGAGAGAGGAGAGAGAGAAGGAGAGAGAAGGAGAGAGAAGGAGAGAGAAGGAGAAGGAGGAGAGGGAGGAGGAGAGGGAGGAGGAGAAAAAGAAGAAGAAGGAGAAGGAGGAGAAGATGGAGAAGGAGGAGAAGAAGAAATAGAAGAAAAAGTAGTAAAAGAAAAAGAAGAAGAAGAAGAAGAAGAAAATGAAGAAGGAGAAGAAGTAGAAGAAACTACCATTCTTGACATCCACAAATAACCAAAATCCATTCCTTACTTTGGGCGATGGGCCGTGCGACCGTTGTTGATGACTTCAGCGAATGTCCCGCAATTGTTGTGAAATAGCAAAGCCTCACTGGTTTCATCATCTGAGGGCACTGTTGAAAAAAGGTGTCAAACAGTGTTACTTTTTACTGAAAATCACATGTTTTTGTATAATTTATACACTCACTCACTCCTCTGTACTCTGCCATGCTTTGAAATGAATGTGACTGACACAAGTCTCAGTGCCTTTTATTTTTTGTGAGGATATTATATACACACATACAGATGCTGTGATGCAGATCCATAACACTGCAGAAGATTAACATAGACTTCAAATGCAATGGTTAATAACAGTTTTACTGCTTTTCTCCTGACTTCCCAGAGTGTGAGTGTAAGAAT